AGTAATGGAGTACAATGCAACTAAGGAGTGAAAAGCAGCAAGGGAGAGGGCAGTGAGCAGCCTAGCCCAGGCAGGGCGCCTCGTTACAGCAAGGCACGTGCCACGACAGCCTCCTTCCTTTGCTCCATCTTTTAGTATTATTCCTTTTTTTCCTTCTTTTTTTTCGGGTTTTTTTTTTTTTGTCTACTTTTGTTTCAATATTATTTCTGATATTTTCTCCTCTACTGGCTTGAGGAGTAGATGCATGTGGGTGGCCTAGGGCCAAAATATTCACGCGAGGGTCCAACTCTCTTAGGAGGGAATTGCAGGCCAGGTGTACCAAGCAGGACCTGGGGATGGGGTGGGGCCAGTGCTTCTCAGACTTTTGATCCCCCTGATAATCCTGTTGGGAAGAAAGAAGAAGCGAAGGACAAGGAAGAGGAGGAGGAGGAAGAGGAGAAGGAGGAGGAGAAAAAAATCCTAACCTCCAAAGTGATGGAATTAGGAGGTGGAGCCTTTGGGAGGTGATTAAGACATGGGTGGAGCCCTCATGAATGGGATTAGTGCCCTTATAAAAGAGGCCCCAGAGAGCTCTCTGGCCCTCTTTCCACCATGTGAGGATACCTTGAGAAGTTGGGAGCCTGCGACCCAGAAGCAGGCTCTTACAAGAACCCAATGATGCTGGCACCTTGATCTTGGACTTTCCAGCTTCCAGGACTGTGATAAATAAATGTTTGCTGTTTATAAGCCACCCAGTTTATAGTGTTTTGTGATAGCCGCCTGAATGGACTAAGACAGGGAGTGTTTCTGGCGTCGAGTAGGTAGAGGCCAGAGATGCTGCTGAACATCCTACAGTGCACAGGCCAGCCTCCCCCCACCCCCCAGAAAGATTTATCCTGTCCAGAATATCAAAAACACAGAGGCTGAGAAGCCAGGAGCCAGCCAATTTCCCTCCACCCCCTTCCCCAGGGTACTTGAATTGGTACCTGTCCTGCATCGCATTTGCTGTATAACAGCGTTACATGGGAGATGCTAAAATCACAGTCCTTTGGTTCATGTGAAGAGAGAAACACGGCCAGATGGGCCTTTGCATCTTTTCCCTTCTTGTCCTCTTCCCCGCCCGGCCTGGGAGCCCTGGGACAGCTTTGGTTGCACTTCACAAGTGAGTAGTGCCACCTAGTGGGACTAGTTAACAACACCAGCAGGAACGTTTCCAAGCACCGGAAACTATTAAACATTAGCCGGCTTTCCGCTGTTGAGAAGATGCTGTGGAAATCCATGAAGACCACCCAAATGAGGAAACACAGAGGCGTTCTATGGCAAGGAAGTCAGCCACCATCACTTGCATTTCGCAGAGTCAGACGTGAGGGGAGACTCAGATGCTGGTGGGAAAGGTTTCTATAGAAAAAAGGAAAGGATGCAGAGGGCTGTAATTGAAAATTGTTGGTGAGGGAAGCTGGAGGTGGGGGCATCTTGTGTGATTGGTTTGGAGAGGATGCTTAGCTTTCTTGGGCTAGTCCTGAGTTGGAGTGGGGGTGAAAATGAGGGCAGCTGGCGACCCTGATGTTCTGGGCCTATTGCTACAGAGGTTGTGGTTTGGCTTCCTGGACTGGTTACTGCAGAGGTTGTGTGGGTCACAATTCTGTTGTCATATATGGCCTGGCCATTGTCCCTTTGTCTATTCAGTCTCTTCATTGGATAATCATTCTAAATATATCCATTCCTGCTGTTACTAATCCTGAAAAGGGCTGCATATAGTTACCCATGTGAGGCCTATAGTCCCAGCACTGTTGGGAGGCTGAGGCAGGAGGATGGCTTGAGCCCAGGAGTTAGTGGTTGCAGTGAGCTATGATCACACTACTGCACTCCAGCCTGGGCAACAGAGCAAGACCCTATCTCTAAAAAAAAAAAA